TTTATATTCAATTAACGTATGATCCGATTAGTCAACTAATCGAAAAAATAATCGGTGATTAATCGATTATAAAAATAATCGTTTGTGGCAGCCCTAGATCCTTTTTTGGGTACCTTAGGATCACATCTCTGCTTTTTGTGGATGATGTGGTCCTATTGGCTTCATCAGATTGTGATCTCCAGCTCTCACTGGAGCTGTTCACAGCCGAGTGTGAAGCGGCCAGGATGAGGATCAGTGCCTCCAAATCCGAGACATGGTCTTGAGCCAGAAACCGGTAGGTTGTCGCCACCGGGTCGGKGAGTAGGTCCTGCCCCAAGTGGAGGAGTTTAAGCATCTCGGAGTCCTGTTCACAAATGAGGGAAGAATGGAGCTGGAGAATGACAGACAGATTGGTGCTGCATCTGCAGTGATGCGGGCGCTGTACCGGTCTGTTGTGGTGAAGCGAGAGCTGAGCCAGAAGGTGAAGCTCTCGATTTACCAGTCAGTCTACGTTCCTACCCTCACTTTGGATAGTGACCGAAAGAATGTGATCACGGACACAAGCGGCCGAAATGAGTTTCCTCTGCAGAGTGTCTGGGCTCTCCCAGGGTGAGAAGCTCAGCCATCGGGGAGGGACTCGGAGTACAGCCGCTGCTCCACCACGTTGAGAGGAGCCAGTTGAGGTGGCTCGGGCATCTGGTTAGGATGCCTCCTGGACGCCTCCCTGGTGAGGTGTTCATATAATGAGATTTTGTGTACTTCCTTGTTAATTTCTATCCCTTTAATATTAGCRTCATCTCTAATGATTTGAGCTAACGGTTCAATACTAATGGCGAAMAGAAGGGGTGAGAGCGAGCACCCGTCTGCACCCCCCGTTCTAGTAGAAATCTATCAGATCTAAAGCCGTTAACTTTAACTGCTGCCTGTGGAGAGGAGTAAAGTGTCTGCACCCAGTCAACAAAATATGGACCAAATCCAAAGCGTTTCAGAGTATGAATTAAATACTTCCAGGACACTCTGTCAAATGCCTTTTGGGCATCTAAGGATATGATTGCTGATTCAATCTTGCTTTCTTTTTGGACGCTTGTTAAATTCAGTAAGCGCCTTAAATTATCAGCATAGTACCTGCCTGCAATAAATCCTGTCTGATCGGGGTGTATGATTTGGGTGATGAATTTGTTAAGTCGTCTTGCTAGGATTGCAGTGAGTATGCGTAGGTCTGTGTTCAGCAGTGATATAGGTCTATAGGACTGGCAGTCTGTAGGATCCTTGCCCTCTTTGTGGATTTACTACTATTGTGGCTTCTGTCCAAGATGGTGCCATAGTTTTGGATTTTAAAGCATGATGATATGCTTTTAGTAGCAAAGGAGCCAGAAGGTCTATAAAGGTTTTATAAAAGTCATTGGCAAATCCATCTGGGCCTGGGCTTTTGTTGTTCTTAAATGATTTAATTATCTGCTTGATCTCCCATTCCTCAATCGGTTGATCTAATTTCGAAGCCGCCTCATCTGTTAAATGGTTCAATTTTATGTTCTTTAAAAAATCTGTGAGCTCTTGGTCATTATTACAGGTATCGGAGTTTGTATATAATAATTTGTAAAATTTCGCAAAGGCCTCTGCTATTTTGTCAGGTTTTGTCTCAACGGTATCTTGAGATTTTATTTTATGAACCATGTTGGAGGACTGTTGTTTTCTCAGTCTAAATGCCAATAACCTACTAGCCTTCTGGCCATATTCAAAATATTTTTGGTTWGTGAACCTCAAATTGCCCTCTACTTTATCTGACAATAGACTGCTTAGTTGTCTGCGGGTTGCATTTAATTCCTTCATGATTTTAGCTGAAACATGTCTTTTATGTTTAATCTCCAAATCGTTGATTTTGTCCTCCAGATCTTTTTGTTTAGCATTCTTCTGTTTTTTTTTCTTGCCGACGTGAAGGAAATTATGTGGCCCCGAAGGAATGCTTTGGCACAGTCCCATATTATCCGAGGTGATGTTTCTACAGATATACTGGTTTCTAAATACGTCTTGAGCTCTTCTGTAATAAATGCCATGAATACATTGTCGTTAAAAAGGGATGTGTTAAGCCTCCATTGTTTAGATATTGGTCTGTGTCCTATGTCCCATTTTAATAAGACAGGTGCATGGTCAGAGATAGTAATAGGAAATATTTCTATATCTACTATTCTATGCAGCTCTGACTTTGGGGTAAAAAATAATCGATCCTACAGTAGGATGCATGCCTGCTCGAGTAGAAAGTGAAGTCTTTAGTTCTGGGAAAACTGCTTCTCCATACGTCTACAATTCCTGTCACTATAATCTGATATTTAAGCAACCTACTCATTCTACAGAGCGGGGTTTTTGGAGTGGGTAATCTGTCCAATATTTGTGACAGAATACARTTGAAGTCCCCACCCAGCAACAACAGACYGGCACAGTGCTGTACTATTATCTTAAACAGTGACTTTATGAATTCAGGTGCATCTGTATTGGGTGCATACACATTTACAAGCGATACTTCTATGCCATCAATTGTACCATTAACCAAAACATATCTTCCCTCTGTGTCTCTAYGTAACAGCGTTTGTGTGAAATTAACCTGCCGGTGCAAAAGTATGACGACACCCTTTTTTTTCCCTGATCGGTGGGATGAGTAGAAGGCCTTATCTGCCCAAGACTTTTTTAATTTTTCATGCTCTGTATCAGACAGATGGGTTTCTTGCAAAAAAGCTATGTGACAGTTAATTTGTTTTATTTGATTCAATATTTTCTTTCTTTTGACTGGATTGTCGACCCCATTTACATTATAAGTTACAATTTTAAGTGGGTCACCCATTATCTCTACACGWTCTATGTTTTGACATCTCAAAAAATATGAATGACGACACACCCTTTATGCATAACACTGTCTTTTCTGTGAGGGGTCTAAGGAATACAAGTACACAATGTCCACAGAACCAAACAGAGGGGGATAAAGCAAAGTTTTGACAACTGTAGTCTGTATCTCTAGTCTCAACAAAATGAGTAAGAACAAATGATGATGCAAAAGAGTAACAGAAAGAAAATAAGTTCGCAGAAGAAAAAGAAGGTTGCGCAGGGTCCCCGGGGAACAGAGGGACCAGAACTAGAAAAACACAGAACGGGTAAATACTATKTTTAAGTACTTGGGACATAGTCCCCAGCAGCTAAATAAGCCGCTAAAGTGCACAGCCAAGATTGAATGTGTGTGCAGCAGGTGCGCTTAGATGTGTACAAGGTAAGAAATACACAAAAGTCACAATGGAGTAAATAATATAGCTACGTAACTTCAAATATACTGCAGGTTCCTGCAAACCTTAAAAAAAGAATCTAATGTAAAACAGCATATTTGCCCGTATCGTTAAATCTATAGATTTATCTTCATAAAACTTATGGAGAGAGCTGTATGAAAGTTAGCCATAACGATGAAAACTATTTTTCTGATATTGTCTCTATGAGCTCACGGTACCTTTATTTGACTGTCTCTGTCGGGGAAATATTGTTCCGGACGTATTCCATGGCTGTTTTGGGGTCAAGGAACTCCTTTTCAACATTATGATATGTAATCCGAAATCGGGCCGGGTAGAGGAGGCCATAGCGAAYGTCCTTGTTGCCCCGCAGCGCCCTCCGCACCTCCATGAAAGCGGCTCTTGCTTTGGCTACGCTGGCCGTGTAGTTGGGGAAGAAGGCGACGTGGTGCCCGTTGTAAAAGAGCGGAGCTCYGTCTCGGGCTCTCCTCAGGATCTCCGCCGCGTCCCCGTCATTATGTAGTTTAGCGATGATGACTCTTGGCGTCTCACGGTCCCTCRGTCTTCTCCCGGTAAGTGTGCGGTGTGAACAGTCCACCTTTTTGTCTCGATCCATCTTCAGAACTTCTTTGATGATTTTTGCCACAGCTTGTGTGGAGCTAGAGCCCGGGAGCTCTTCAATGCCTGCAATGCAGATATTGGACCTTCTCATTCTCCCCTCCAGATCTTCACATTTATCTTTGAGCRTTGACATTTCTTTCTGTAAACTTGTTACCGCAGACTGTAGTGAGGTGACTTCGTCTGACCACGTTGAAAAGCCACCTTTTAAGTCCAAGACGTCCGCCTTTACCATGTCCACTTCAGCTTGTATGGCCTTTGAGCTGTTAGCRATTTCGGAGCGGACCGCTTGCAGTTCGGATCTTATAGCTTGAAAATCTTCCGCTAATGCGCCTTTAAGCTCGTCTCATCACTTTAGCGATTTCTCCTCTCAGTGACGATAAAATGTCTGCTTTCATTTCTTCGTTACTCATGTTTGGACCTTCAGTCCCAGTGGTTGTCGGTGGRTCCGCGTCRTTTGTTGCCCGCTGTCTCGTGGTCCTAGCAGGCCTTATAGCATTAGCATCGCTTCCRTATTTATACTTTTGCAGTTTTTCGGCCATTCAGGATGATTTTGTTYGGGTTGTCCRACKGTTGTGATCTTAAGGTTTTCTCTCCAATGTTTCGACAAATATTAGCGTGGTTAATGCTGTTTTTTTATGTAATTTTTACGGATTTTGCAGGAGCTCTGAAAAGTACGTCTTACGCCATATCTTGCTCACCAGCGCTCCCCAGTGTAATATATTTTTAAACTTTTAGTTTAAAAATGATAAAAATTAACATCCTACTATATTTTTACAGTCTTTATTTTACAGTTAAAATACAGTGAATCCGGAAAGTATTCACAGCACATCACTTTTCCCACATTTTGTTACATTAGAGCCTTATTCCAAATTGAATTAAATTAATCTCTTCCCTCAAAATTCTACACAAAATACCTCACTATGACCATGTGAAAACAGTTTTCTTGAGAGTTCTGAAAATTTACTAAAAATAAAAAACTAAGAAATCACATTTATGTACTGTAAGTATTCACAGCCTTCGCCATGAAGCTCAAAATTGAGCTCAAGTGCATCCTGTTTCCACTGATCATCCTTGAGATGTTTTTATAGCTTAAATGGAGTCCACCTGTGGTAAATCCAGTTGATTGGACATGATTTGGAAAGGCACACACCTGTCTATATAAGGTCCCAGAGTTTGACTGCATGTCAGAGTACAAACACCAAGCATGAAGTCAAAAGAATTGTCTGTAGACCTACGAGACCAAATTGTCTCGAGGCACAAATCTAGGGAAGGATAGAGAAAAATTTCTGCTGCTTTGAAGGTCCCAAATGAGCACAGTGGCCTCCATCATTCATAATGGAAGAAATAATGGAAGAACCACCAGGACTCTTCCTAGAGATGGCCGGCCGTCTAAACAGAGTGATCGGGGGAGAAGGGCCTTGGTCATGGAAGTGACCAAGAACCCGATGGTTACTCGGTCAGAGCTCCAGTGTTCCTCCGTGGAAAGAGGAGAACCTTGCAGAAGGACAACCATCTCTGCAGCAGTCCACCAATCAGGCTGTATGGCAGAGTGGCCAGGCCAAAGCCACTCCTTAGTAAAAGGCACAAGGCAGCCCGTCAGGAATTTGCCAAAAGGCACCTGAAGGACTCTCAGACCATGAGAAACAAAATTCTCTGGTCTGATGAGACAAAGATTGAACTCTTTGGTGTGAATGTCAGGTGTCATGTTTGGAGGAAACCAGCCACTGCTCATCACGAGGCCAATGCCATCCCTACAGTCAAGCATGGCGGTGGCAGCATCATGCTATGGGGATGTTTTAAGCAGCAAGAACTGGCAGACTAGTCAGGATAGAGGGAAAGATCAATGCAGCAATGTACAGAGTCATCCTGGATGAAAACCTGCTCCAGAGCGCTCTTGACCTCAGACTGGGACCACGGTTCATTTTTCAGCAGGACAACGACCCAAAGCACACAGCCAAGACCTCAAAGGGCTGGCTTCAGGACCACTCTGTGAATGTCCTGGAGTGGCCCAGCCAGAGCCCTGATTTGAATCCGATTGAACATCTCTGAAGAGATCTGAAAATGGCTGTGCACAGACGTCTCCCATCCAAACTGATGGAGCTTCAGAGGTACTGCAAAGAAGAATGGGCAAAACTGCCTAAATATAGGTGTGCCAAGCTTGTGGCATCATATTCAAAAAGAACTGAGGCTGTAGTTGCTGCCAAAGGTGGTTTTACAAAGTATTAAGCAAAGGCTGTGAATACTTATGTAAATATGATTTCTTTGTTTTTTAATTTTAATGAACTTTCAAAACTCTCTTTTCACAAGGTCATAATGGGGTTTTTGTGTAGAATTTTGAGGAAAGACATTAATTTAATACAATTTGGAATAAGGCTGTAATGTAACAAAATGTGGAAAAAGTGAAGCGCTGTGAATACTTTCCAGATGCACTGTATATGTTTATCAAATAAAGTCTAATATTACATCATCTTTGTGAAGCTTAAAAAGAGGGTAGTCTCCTTTGCATCTGAAAATACATTTCCTCAAAGACAGTTTTTTATTCCGAAAAGGACTGGACTGAGAGGTACAATGAGCTCAGCAGACACGCAGGCCGGGGGTGGGTGTGTGCGCTCTGATGAGGAAGCTCAGTTCTAGTCCCAACCGGTGGTTTTCGCTCCCCTGCCTGGCTGCCTCAGGACACTACAGGATTTCTCAAACATGAATGAGTCAAAGCAAAACTCTGGGCATGTTTTTGATGAGAGGATAACATTATAACATGATATAAAACTCAAAAAGTTGATTTTACATGATATTGCCCCTTGAAAAGGTTTCTTAGTGAACATCTTCCTACAGCAACAATTTTCATGACACACAGACAAACTATACATCAAAACGTAGGCATTTCGATCTTCTTTCAGACAATGTTTCTGGTTTTGTTGTAGGACAAATGGTTTTCTCCCACAGTGTCTCAGAAAGAAAAGTGGTACCAGTTTCTATCTAATAATTTCCCATGTTAAATTTCCATCACTCTAGAGTTGAGAAGCAAAACAAAGAGCGTTTTGTAACTCGTCATACCTCTGACAAAGTGCTATAAAAATAAAAATAAAAATTCTGGAGTAAGAACCAATCTCTTCTCTCACTCACATTTCAAGAGTTATTTAAATAGACCTTAATCACTGTGGCTGTTTGAAAGATTTGTGAGTGATTCTTGCTGTTTCTTATTTTTTCCACAATCCACCCAAAGCCAAAGCAGGTATCACTACAAGAAAAGACTTACTGATGAACACAAAGTCATTGGAGGGGTAGGAGATGATGATRGGATCACTGAACAGACCAGGGGTGTGGTTTGTAGTGGGTGTGATTGTACTGGTGGGTGTGGTGCTGGTGGGCTGCTCTGTAGGGGGTCCTCTGTCTGTGAAGCTGGGCTCACTGAGCGGCTTCGATGACACATCCTGGGAGGATGGGACTAAGATGCAGAAAGAAAAGTTAAAAATTAGGAAGAAGCAAAGATGTGGTGCAAACAAGTGTTGGTGATATCTGTACTGTACCTGGCACCACAGACTCAGTTCTCTGCTCACTGATAATGGCAGACAGAAAGTCAATTTGCTCATCTAGTTCAGGGTAAGTGCTCCCCTTACCTGGAGCAAAACAGAAACAAAACATCTGTCACGCATTTACAAAAATACAAAAAAAGTTGCTGGAAAAAAGTGACAGACATTATAAAAAGTTATGCCTTCTTTTTACAATTCAGAACTTCACTGTAAAAAAAATCACTCAGTGCTAGGCAAGTCTTAATATGAGGTGGATCTACTCCAAAAAATAATAACACATGCCATTTTAACACAAGCTTTTTTCTTTTCTTTAAAAAAACTGCAGGTGAAAGGTGTGAAAAACTAAAGGCTTACTTTGGAAGATCTCTCTTTAACGCAGTTACATAACATTTTTTTAATTTTTATTTTGCAGACGTTGCAGAAACTAATTCTTTGCACAAGCTTCTGGCAGATCCTGKTCCCTGCGGGGGCATGCACCAAGTGTTGTGGGACTGATCGAACCTTCATTGGCGTGTTTATGTGGAGAAGCAGGTCGACTTCATTTATAAAGACAGTCAAATAAATCTGAAACCCTTAAAGAATACTTTTGTCCAGCATGGTCCAACTTCAGCAGATCTTAGCAGTGAGTTGAAGGGTTAGCAGTGAACACGTGTGGTGAGTTTACAGTTAGAATAAGGCTCAATACAAAGAAGCACAATTATTCTGAACAAGTAGGGATTGGAAGTTACTTTCAAATAATCAATGTCTCATTTATGTAGACATACTCAAAAAAATAAAACAGATTTTTTTTTTACACCAACACCTAGTAGTGACATACAAAGGTGTTTCCTAATGGAGCTTTCTATTGGAAGAGCTTTTATTTTACAGGACACCTCACTCCTAAAACAAGAAAGGTAAACAGTTGGGAAATTCCCAGGGTTTGTTTCTGCCATTGAAGTTTGTTTTGAAAGGCTTAGGAGGAGGAAATATTGCCACAGTTGAGCTCAGAATGTGTCCTGCTGCCTGTGGATCTGTGAAAATGAAGGAACATGAAGCTCACTGGCTGCAGCACATGTCTCTGTACCTGAAGCCTGTTTCTTTACAAGACGTTTCAGCTGCAAGGTTAGAGGTGAGCAAAGCTTTATTCAACTGGGAAATGTGACAGAATGTGTATGAAATACCAGTGTTTGGTTAGTTTAGAAACAGCACGGTTAACAAAAACACTGCCCTCATGTGTTAAAATGTGGAATTGCACTTGTCAAACTGCAGGCAGGATCATTGTGATGAAGGTCTCTTCAGGTGCATGACTCTGGACATTCAGAGGAAACTACGCAGGCAGGAGAGCAGAGGGATGCAGTGTCAGAGGGTAACAACTGTGAACATGTGTGTACATGCATGTGTGTACAGTGTTAAYGTGTGATAACAGCAACATGAACTCCACCTCCTTTCAGTTTCCCACAGGAACATAAGAGATGTGGAACTAGCACACTTTCACAGTTTATTTCTGGTGTGTGAACATACTGTATCAGAAGCTCAGTAACATCTTTTAACAAGGGTTTCATAGGAAACCATGACTGATTTGTAGAAATGTAAATGACCACAAATGTAATGAGAAAAGAAAGCCGATGGATTTCAATGCTTCATGACTTCATTTTCTCTGTGCTCATAAATCTAAAGAAACCTGTTTCAAAGCACTTTCACACATTCTTCTCTATAAAGTCCTGCAGCATGTGGAGTCAGAAACAATAAGGTGGGGTTACAGAGTAAAACTCTTACAGGCAGGACACACACTACTGTTCAAAGGTTTTAGAACACCCTCATTTTTCCATTTTTTTATTTGATATTTAAGCAGTTCAAGACCAATGAACAGCTTGAAAGGGTACAAAGGTAAGTGCTGAACTGCCAGAGGTTTAAAAATGTAAGGTTACCCAAGACTGAAAGTCCAGGTGTCTGCGAGTCCAGTTTCCTTCACCATCATAATGTACTCAGACACTGGTGCAAACAAGAATTAAACTCTCTAAAGTTGGCTACGTTTTTACCAAAAATCAACAAAAGAAAGTAAAATGCTGACTATGCCATTCCATGGCAGCAGAGCRGCAGCAAAAACATGATCACATCATGAGATGCTAAGACGCTGCAGMCGTCCTCTGCAGTAATGATGATGGGTAAGTTTGATGTGTAGCCTGGTTAAAACTAAACCCTGTCCTTCACTTTGCTTCGTACAAGGGTCTGGACTTGATGCATAGAGAATCGATTCCTGCAGGAGGCATGGCCTCTGCTGAAGCATGTGTGTGTGTTGTCCTTGTGAAGGAGGCTAAGCTAAGAAGCTAACCGGAAATTGTGTGCACTGTAAACAACCCAACTGAGAGGAGAAATACAGGTGCTGGTCATAAAATTAGAATATCATGAAAAAGTAGATTTATTTCAGTAATTCCATTTAAAA